AGGCAGGGCTGGGCTGGGAGGCGCCCTGGGCCAGGGAACACTTTGCTGACCTCAGCACTGGCAGGAGAGAACATGTGGAATCACAGGGTTGGAGCTGGAGTGAATCCTAGTAAAAAGTGTCATCCAATTTTCTTATTTCACAAATGAGGAAACTGAAGGTGAGGGGGTCACTTATCCAAGACCACACAGCCGGTCTGTGTCAGAGGCCAGAACACAGTGCCTCTTAATTAACCCCTGCTTGCCCACACGCCAATGATTCCTTACGAGGATTATTCACATTCAGCAGTTTTACTGCCTTGATGGGTCTCTGACTCAACTCTTTTCATAAGATACAGACATATACAGGAAGCGCCTGGATTCATTAGTAAAGTTGGGCTAATCATGCAGATCTCACTCCGCAGACCCTGGGTGAGGCATTTCCATATACCCTGCTTCCAAAACAACTGAAAAGAAACCCAGTGTAAAACAAAAATAAACAAATAAACCCCCTAAACTTTTCCATAGCTAAATCAGTGTTTTGACATTCCAACTTTGGGATTTGATTGTCAGGCAGAAACGATGTGCCTGCCAGTTAGCATTGCTAACAGGCCATCACAGTTTCTGGGAAATTGCTAGCAGATCTCACAAAGCTGAGGCATCTACATTCAATACCAAACTTGGTTATCAGGCTAGGTTGCTCAGAGAGGAGGTCTACTTCACCCATTCCACTAGTTCTCTTTCCCCACCTGGTTAGTTGTTGTCTAAATTGTCCTTATTTAACAAAAAGGAAAGCTCTACATTTTACGATTTTCACTTCACAGTTTTTAATTTCTAGAGATTCAAAGCTAGGTAAGCTCCTCAGGTTTCTCCTCTATTTTAATCAAATGTCTATTATTGGAGTGGTAAGGAAGGGAATATTTTACATGTATATGCAACCTGAACAAGGATAAGCTTAGGTGCCTCATGAAAAACATTAACTTTTTAAAAATGCAGTTTGTGAAACTGCAATACAGTCAATAAAATGCCCTCTCTGTAATAGACATTTAAAATATACCCAAAGGTAGTATACAAAAATCGATAAACCAGGGAGACATGTCACCTTCCAAATGTCATTTAATCAATGACGACACCAATCTTTGAGTGGTGGGAAGGAGGTTGGAAGTCATAGAGGTCTTCATTTAGGATCAACAGGGCCATAGATTCCATACAAAGACAGGAGGGGAAATGTATTCTCTTATGTAAAGTATTCATGGCAAAACCCTTTAAAAGAGCTTTATTGAATTATCATTCACATATCATAGATTTTCCCATTCAAACTTCACAATTAGATGGCTCTTAGTATACTCTCAGAGATATATGAAACCATCATCACAGTTAATTTTAGAAAATGTCATTACCTCCAGAAAAGATCTCGTATCTTTGGCTATTTTCCCTCTACCACCCTCTTATTCTCCCATCCCAGCCCTAGGCAACCACTAATCTCTTTTCTATCTCTATACTTAGATTTCCCAGTTCTATACGTAACATGAATTAAATAATGTGATATATGGTCTTTTGCACCTGGCTTCCTTCACTTAGCATCATAGTGTTTTCAAGGTTCCTTCATGTTGTAGCAAGTGTCAGTACCTCATTCTGGCTGAATGATAATCTATTCCATGGATGCTAGTACGTTTTGATTGTCTATTGTCCACTGATGAACATTTGAGTATTTTCACTTTTTGGCTATTAGGAATAATGCTGCTCTAACTATTCATGTACAAGTTTCTGAAGGACATATGTTTTCATTTCTCCTGAGAGAAATAAAATGTTGGGTCCTATTGTAACTATGTTGAATCATTTGAGGAATTGACAGACTTTTTCAAAGCAGCTGCATGATTTTACAGGTCCATCAGCAATGTAGGAGGGTTTTGATTTCTACACATCCTTGCCAATACTTATTATCAGACTTTTGGATTCTAGCAATCATAGTGGGTGTGAAATGGTATACCATGGTGGTTTAGACTTGCAGTTCCCTGACGATTAATAACTGCATACCACCTTTGGATTGAGCATCTTTTCATGTGCTTATTGATCATTCGTATATTTTTCTTGGAGAAATGTTTATTTAGATTCTTTGTCCATTTTTAATTGAGTCAAATTAGGTCCAAAACTTGATTTGTCTTTATTATTGAGTTATAAATGTTCATTATATATTTTGGATACAATGTATAATTTGCAAATACTCCCATTCTATGGGTTCTTTTTTCATTTTCTTTTTAAAAAATATATTTTTATTGATTTCAGAGAGGGAGGGAGAGAGAGAAACATCAATGATGAGAGAGAATCATTAATCTGCTGCCTCCTGCACACTCCCTACTGGGGATCGAGCCCACAACCTGGGCATGTGCCCTTGACTGGAATCAAACCTGGGACTCTTCAGTCTGCAGGTTGACACTCTACTGAGCCAAACCGGCTAGGGCTTTTTTCATTTTCTTGATGGTGTCAATTCAGGTATTTTTGAAGGACTTGAAAAACTCTATTCATTCGAATCATCACTTAAAAAAAAAACTTTTGCTTTTAATATAATGAAGAATATACTATCAATGAGGCATGGACTTGTAATTGTGTTTTTGTTGTTGGGTTGTTTTTTGTTTTTTTTTTCTCCCACAGTAGAAGTAAGAGATCACACTATTGGGATTAAAAGCAGGAGGAAGCTCACAAGTCAGGAGACCTGGGTTTTCTTCCTGGTTCTGTTACTCCCAGAATGCCACTTATCAAGTTAGTCCTCTACCCTAGGTCTTAATGACCTAAGCCATAAAATGTGGGGTTGAACTAAAACAGTGGTTCTAAAATATTCTTACTGAGTGGGAAACTTATTTTCAATTAAATGTTAAGTGAAGCCCTAATATGTAAAATAAGTGGATTTTCAGTTATATAAATTTATTATTTGAAACTCAAATTTATAATATTTCTGTATAATTCAGTCAATGAGCACAGGGGGATGATACTGATGCAAACATTTGAGACCCATGAATATGGGTGGCAGTTGGAATCTTCTATCACTGTCAATATTTAGTTCAGTTCTATACTCTGTCTTAACTTTAGAAAATTCCTATGTTTAGATAAATCACAAAGGATTTCTTGCAAATTGAATGAGTGCTTTAAAAGTTTGCTTTGCAATCTCATGATACTCTTCTATTAAACAAAGAGGGCAGAAGATTTATTTTTTTTGGTGCATTGTTTCTGTGATAAGTACTCTATGCCAAAATATCTCTCTTGAAAAGTAAAGTTGAATCAAGCATTCATAGAATAAAGTATATAAGCCAATCATCTACTAGAATATACCTTCCAGGTTCATAAATTTGAAGATTCATTTATAGCTTTTGCCCAGTCCCATTGGGATCATTTCTGATACTCTTGGGCTGATAGGACCTCTTATGGTCACTGATTTGGCGTAGCTTGCTGAATCGCATTCATTTTTCTTGAGAAAAGGACAGACAGAAGAAGAGGAAAGGGAGAAAACAGCACAATTGATGGAAATAATCCCTCACCTCAACAAAAATACCTCCTTCAGCAGATATGAAGGATTCTCCTGAACTAAGACACTCAGAAATCTCATAACAGAGGGTCTCCTGTTTTGAAGGTAGACACATCCTCAGGCTCCCCACAAACCCACAGCCCTGGAGGTACCAGCAAACCGCCAGTAGTGAAGTATGGATTTCACATGGATGGTCATGTGAAGATTCCTCTGATAAGGCACTGGGGTAGGGATCTCAGCCCCATACTCCTTTTTGAATGTTTTTCATAGTGGCTTCGCTCACCAGACATTTTAGTATATGAATAGGGTGGCCATATAAGTTGTCACCCAAACTGAGACACTGTGAGAGTGAAAGGTAATACTATCAATCATTAGCCTGAGACAACAGTTGTAAACCAGGCTGTTGCCAGGCAAACTGGGGTGAAGGGTCATCCTGGTTAGGAACCAGGTTCTCCCCAACAGAAGATAGTGCTAAAGAACAAACAATTGGCAGATAGGTATCACCAATCTGGCAAAATATCAATATGTCTTCAATGAATCTTTACTAGTTTAACCTGAACCTAACTTTTTAATTTTTAAATGAAGCTTTTGAAATTTTTCTAAAATGTAAAGTGGTTAGTCAGCCTAAGGAGCCTCTGATATGTTAAGGGGGAAAAAAATCACTTCTGAGTGCAGGGTGCTGACAATACGTAAGGGAATATAAAACAAATATGGAAACTGTAATGGTTTTACTAAATATGAATTACTTAATACAATGTTTAAACTACAGCAATATAAAATAATTAGTCTGTACATTCTTGGAAACACATGTCAGATATAGATGAATATTTTGGGGTTCTTATTTTATTGGTTCCATTTACTGAATGTTTAAATAATTTTTCTGTCCTTATTATTCTATTTTATATTCCTTGACAGACGAAGATCATTTCTGTCACCCTCTCTTCCTCCTTTTAGTTCTATTCATAGCACCATTTTATTTATTCTTCATATGGTAAACTCTCAACCCTGTATTAACTAAAATTTTTTTACAAACTTATTATCAAATCCACAAACACTTCCCTGATTACAAAGCATTTTTTTTATCCCCATATTCATCAGATTTTCATTCAAAGCTTTGCCATTTCTTTGTTATGTTATTGAACATCTGGCGGTTTGGGATCTCTTCTAAAGCTACTAGTCATTTTTTTTTGCCTCATATCTACATGTTCTTAACTAATCTACTTTGATGGTATCAGTCTCATAACTATTTATTGTTAGTGAATATAAAAATATAATCCCTCTTTATAATTCAAGATATTCATGGAAGGTTGGTTATTAATGATACTGCCTAAATGAAACTTCCAGTAGTTACTTAGATATGGGTTTAGCCATAACAGAATAGTTTACTATTTATTTTAACATTTATCCTTTTGAAAATAGGAGATAATAGTCATATTAGCTGGAGGAAAGGATGAACAGGTTTGGTCTACTTCTCCGTTTTTCCATGACTTAAAAATACACTCACCTCCTCCAAAAGGGCCCCATATGACGCGGCGGATGGACTTCACCCAGTCTTCCATATCATGCTGGGTGCCCGCCATGAGGAGGTAGCTCTCATGATTTGCTGTCATCCGTTCTCGATCGCCTCCTGTAAGAAGACAGTCACACATGAGAGTATGCTCAGCCGAAGATTCCCCACCAGCAGCCATCTAGGGAGTTCCTGACACACAGACGGTGCCTAAGGCAGCCAGCACTACGTTCTACCCAATGAATTGGAAATATTTACCATGATTTCAACATGGGGGAAAAAACCTGCTTAAAAAGGAAAGACTCTTATGTTTCCAGGGGAAAGCTGGAAAATAAATGCCATTCTCCAAACAAAGCCTGCCTTTTTGTCCTAGCAACAACCCATAGGCCTGCCTTAACTCATCAGCCAGTCTATGCACACTGCACTGCTGAATAGGGAGAAACAGCAAAAGCAAAATGAAAGATGGAAACGTGATCTGCAGAGCCTGGGATTTTGTCTGAAGCAAGTGCATGCACAGCGAGGCCACCAACTCCTCATGGGTGAGCTGGGGAGTTCTAGGAAAGCAAAAGAGCCACATGAAAAACTTTTGACCCCGAGGCCCCCCTCTATCACTCTGTCCTGGCAGGAAAGCCTTCCCCCGAGATCATACCTCCAGGAGGGCAAAGAGGAGAGAAGATACACTGCTGGCCAGTCACAAGGCCAAACCAGTGCCCCCACCCCTATGGGCCTCACACTGAAGAGTGAGATGTAGGAAACCCCAGTGGTGCCTCCATGCAAAAGGTTGGTGGATTGATCAACATTTAATTTTCACTAAGTGTTGCAAAATGTGCAGCCTGGAGTTGAATCAATTCGTGTCCAAGTGCTTTGTTTTGTTAAGACTGCTGCTGTTTGTTTGTATTATGATGCATCTCTATTCCTTTATGAGGAGCTTGCAGACTCCAATTTACAACACTGCCTTTTCTTTCACATCCAGTCTATTGCCCACATAGCTCTGAAAGCGACAGGCATTTGAGTTTGTGACCTCTGAATTCTATACAAATGCCCTAGGTTGAGAAATACAACTATTTTACCACTGCTTCAAATTTATAGAACAAGTGAAAGGTTAGAGAAGTGAAATAACCTTAAGCCAACCAAAGAAACAACTACATTGGCATTTTACATTTTAATACTACTGGGTGGAAATGGGGGAGGGACCAAGGGACATATCAAATAGGTTTCCTAATATCTACAGATCTCTGGAATAAACAAGACTAGCCATCTCATATTTTAAAGAACATCTCACTATTAGGGAAACAATGACACTCTTATACCTTTAGGTGTATGCTAGGTCAACCATCACTTTAAACAACTTTAATCTGAAAAAGCATAGGTTCAGGAATTAAAAAAATAAAAACCTCCTAAGCCCTGGCCTAGTAGCTCAGTTGGTTAGAATATCATCCCCATACACCAAGGTTGTGGGTTCAATCCCCAATCAGGGCCCATACAAGAATCAACTAATGAAAGCATAAATAAGTGGAACAACAAATTGATCTCTCTCTCTTTATTCCTCTCTCTCTCTCAAATCAATACACAGTAAAAAATTTTTAAAAAAGAAAGAAAACCCTGCTGAAATTGTAATTCTATCTTATATTAGCTGTTTGCCTTCTGGGAAATTATATAATTTCTGGAAACTCTCTATTTAGAAATAATAATCCCTATATATTAAACTTTCATGAGAATTAAATGCAATAAAGTAAAAATACCAGCACTATGTTAAGCTAAAAGAGAAATTCTGTAAATATTAATTCGGTCTCATTTTACTGTCTCTTATCCCTAAAAATGCTAAAAGGACATATTACACTTAATTTGAACTGAGAGATATTATGTCTAGTAAGTGCTTGAGAACAATTTGTCAATAGTACACATATACAGGGATTTTTAAAAGGCTACCTCTCTTTGATACATAACAATACACATAAATTGTGTCCTGTATATGTATGTAACTATGCCATACATTAGTATGCATATTCATGGTTGTATGCCACAGAAAGCGGCAGAAAAAACTGAATGACAAAAAAAGGTGCTTCATTTAGCATGGCACAGAACTATAGATTTAGTTTGCATTCTGATCCACTTACACGACAGCACTGGGCCAAAAAAAATTACCATTTGAAGTGAGAATATTTTAATTATTCTCTTTGCCAGAAGGATGGTTGGCAATTCAATTTGGACAGCAATATCCTGCTGTGTCACTCCCGGCCCAGGCAGAAGCAGCCCTGGTAATGAGAGTGAGTGACAGGGGCTGCAGTGTTTCTGCCTGAAAGCAGAGAGAAAAGGAGAATGATGAGCACAACTGGCCATTATCCCCTGACTTTTCATGTGATTCTCTGTCTCTGCGGGTGGTGCTGTGTGTCTCACCCTAAAGCTCATTTAGACTGCCAATCACAGGTATGACAGCCCATCTGTGCATTTCACTCATGGATATAGAGCTTCGAGCCTTAGCATATTAGCAAGAGAGGGGGAAAGACTGAGAAAGACTTTTTCTACAAGTCTCAGTGAGAATGCAGACTCATTGGTAAGAATGCGATGAAAACAACTGGCGACATTTATATAGATATAAACTAGATATTCTGTACTAAAAATATGTGATTTCTAACTGGAGATGCTATCTGTTCTAATTCACAACCCTTCAGTTCTAAAGGACTGCTTCTGGTACTGCACCTCACAATGGAAGGGGCTCAAAAACAACTTATTAAATACATGGTTAAATAAATGAATAAACTCAATATTGACTTCCAACCATGTGAATCAAGTTTTACTCTTGGTTAATCCTTTATGGGGATTAATGATCCATTTAACCATTGTGAATCTCAAATTCTTTCCAAAGGTAAAGTTTTAAAAAGCAGCTTTGAGATTTATCCCTGGAGGGAGTGTCATTGTCATCTTCAATCCACATACATGTATGTACCTGTGTGTTTATGTCTATATTATAGCCATTATACACTCTCCATTCTTAAATTCTGCTTCAACATAAATTCCCATGTAGTTTTATTTTTATTTTTAATACTGCTTTCTATGAAAGTGGATTGTACACATTTTAAAGGACACAATGTATTGGTAAATTATATACAACTTTTAGATATTAACTCAGATTGGAAGCAATGTTTTGGTGATAATATTAATACTTCAAGCATTTGTGATTTGAAGTTAACTAAGTAGGTTACACCATTTAATTTTACTTGTTTATGTATGTAATTGAAAGGATTTGTACATTTCATTGGGATCTTCTGTATATTTGGATTAGATATAAAATTTTCTTTCTCAGAAAGAAAACATATTTTCTGAAATAAAATAATTGACAGGTTTGATTTTGCAAAAATTTAAATAAGATTAAGAAAAGTTTCATGCCCTAACCGGTTTGGCTCAGTGGATAGAGCATCAGCCTGCGGACTAAAGGGTCCCAGGTTCGATTCCAGTCAAGGGCATGTACCTTGGTTGCAGGCACATCCCCAGTAGGAGGTGTGCAGGAGGCAGCTGATCGATGTTTCTCTCTCATCGGTGTTTCTAACTCTCTAGTCCTCTCCCTTCCTCTCTGTAAAAAATCAATAAAATATATATATTTAAAAAAAAAGAAAAGTTTCATGAATTTAATAGACTAAGAAAAAGTTTAATCTAATATTAAAAGTCAGGCTAAAGAAAATTACATTAAAATAAAAGCACAGTTAATTAAAAACGGGAATACAAATATCCATTAATTATATGAATAATTACAAAATAATATTTTAAAAATAGTTTTTGATAAACAACTTTGCAAATAATTTATTATTATTATTTGTTTTACTCCTCACCCATGGATATGTTTTAATTGATTTTTAGAGAGAGAAGAAAGGGGAAAGAGAGAGAAACATCGATGTGAGAAACATCAAACCTAAACCCTAGGTATATACCTTGACCAGAAATCAAACCTGTAACCATTTGGTGCATGGGACAATCCTCCAACCAACTGAGACATTGGACCATGGATGCAAATACTTTTTTAAATTTTTAAGAGAAGTATTGGAAATGGTGTTCCAACATATACATACTCATAGTTTATAGGAGTATGAATAATATTCCTTATGATGCAGTCACTAAATTAGGGTTTTAAAGAATATTTGTTAATATGAGTTTTTATTACACAAAAGGAAGTATACAAAGTTTATATATATTATCTCAATTTCCATATAAGTAGACAGCAGATAAATAAGATACTAGATTGAAATACACAATAATGTTAACAATGGTTATCTCTAAATGTTAGGATTAGAAAAATTTTTTTCTCTTCTTTTGTTCTTTTCTACATTTTCCAGATATTTACCCATTTGTTGTTACATAATACAGGTGTTTTTTCAGATGTTCTACCATATATTATTTTATTATCATAAAAAATTATTGAAAAGAACAAATGATAGGAATCATATAGTCAAGAAAGCACTAATAAAAAAAGCCAACATGAGCTGAAGATAATTATCATTACCCTCACTGAGTGTTGCCTAATCTGGCTCACTGTGAACTCTCACTAATTTTCCTTTAACCTTCTCCCTCTCTCCCCCACGCTGACCCAGAGCATTTCCCCAAGGGAAGGTTTGGGACAAGAGACCAGTGTTGCTCAAAGTGCAGAAGACACCAGGTAACTGGGACCTCCTCAGTACAAAGGGGGCTGCTACTATTATGTGCATTACCTTTCTTAAAAAAAATCTAAATAAATATTTTACTGAATTTATTGTGTGGAAATTTCCAAAAAAATAGTCACCAAAACAGTTTTGTTCTTTTTTTTCTATGAAAATAATTATTGTAAATTGTCAAAATTATGAACTAAAAAGCCAGACAATTACTTAGAAGTGATGTATTTATATGTGTGTCATCTCGAGTAAACAAACCTTTAAAGAGATACAGAGAATTATTTGTTTGTATTTGAATTTTAAAACAACTTGCTCAAGGGAAACTGTGGTCATAAGCATTTGGGTTCGTTTCCAAACAGTTCATGAACAGACCTGAGGACCTTTCAGCGAATACCTCTGATACTGTTAATAATTTCAAGGGTGAACTGTTTCCTCATTCCCAGGTACAAATCAGGTTAAACCAGACCTATTATACTCTGT